CCCAATTGTGTCTCTGTAATTTCGGAAACTCCTGTTACCAAAGTGTTACTCCGAAATGAGTTAAATAACCATTTACCTTTGTCAAGTTTCATTCATCAAACCACAAGTGGAAGACTCCTAACACGGGGGGGCTATTTGTTAGCTTTACACAAGCAGCTGGGTGCGATTTCACGTTTGAGATATCCGTCTGAAAGCAAAACATTTATTATCCTAAGTTGTCAGCGATCCTATTTCTCCAAAAAAAACCTCAATGCTAGCCAGTGTTTGATGCAGCTGTGGAAACGTTGTATTGTCGTCACACGTCGCTTCATTTCACTAGCTTTCCTGGTCACATTTGACAAATACTGCTGTTTGAGACAATAACAATTTCCAAACAGCGGCCGCGTGTATGAATGGGGGCCCTATGAAGTATGACACGGCTTATTTCTCATATTGTCTTGTGCGTAGAAAATGATGACAACACACGACGAAAAGTGGTGCACCGTGTCTGCCACGCATCTCACTCATAAGAGCCTGCAAAATGGCAGGGAACGGCACGGTGATGACAAATGACCAAAATTAAATGGATTCCCGTGAGATGTTTGCTCTATAACCCTCCTAACGGCCCGCTTTTCTTGTTGTATTGACTGTACACAGTCAACAGGAAAAAGACATATTCTATGATTACAACGTGCTGTTCTGAGATCCGTCTGCGAACCTCATAGGCAACCTTTAAGCCATGGATCAAATCCAGCCCGACGGGGTATAAAATATCCCGAGTTGTGAATGTAACATAAGGGGACGCCTCCAGGGGACGCCTCCACGCGCTTGTGTGTGCATGTGTGCGCGCATGCACGCACGCACGCACACACACGCGCACGCACGGATTCGTCGTGATTGTCTAAACTGCGTGTTGGCAATGGTCGTGATTTTCTATATGTGTGAGGTATTTCTATATGTGTGCGGGCGCTTTCGTTTGCATCTCCGTGCGTAATACACGTGTATGTGCGCGCTACTGGTCGAGGGAGAGAGAGAGAGAGAGAGAGAGAGGGGTGGTTGTGAGGGAAAAAAACCCGGATTGCTGTGTAAGCGGATCCCTTTGTGTTGATTTAGGAAGACGTTTGCTGTATATAACGTTCAAGGCTGATAATATCATTGCCTAGCCAGATAAATAAAGCATTGGCCAAAACCATCGGGTCAGCTATCGATCCGCTTTTTCTCCGAGAGGGAGAGAGTGTGTGTGTGCGTGTGTGTGTGTGTGTGTGTGTGTGTGTGCTTGTGTGTGTGCCTGCGGAGGGCGACAGGAGGAGGGGTTTAGAAAAAAAAAGAGAGAGAGAAAGGGAGAGAGACCTTACTCATTAGCATTCCACAGCCATGGACTAAACGCTGACAACTAACAGAGATATCCAGCTCTACGCCATTGCATGCGTTTTGCCCCCTTTGTCTTCTTCCCCTGGCCCTTCATTTCCAGCGGACAGATCTCTCGTCACAGCCAAACACGTTTTATATTTGTGCCTTCTCCACCCGTTTGCACGTAAGGACCCCGTGCACGAGAAAAAAAAACACTTCCAGTAAAGCCCAGAAAAAAAGTGATGTTGTAAAAGCAGTGCAAAAGTGACAGCGCTAAGCGCACTCGCATTACTTGGAAGAGAGATTTTCAATTGTGCGGGATTCAACTGCTATTATTTAGATAAATAAGGAAAAACACAATTACACCCTGCATATCCATTATGGAACGAACAGCTCAATGATCTTATTTCCAGTTCAATTGTATATTGTTATTTTCCCATGGGCGGGAAGGATTCGAATGTCTCTGTGAAATAAAGTTTTACCATTGAAACGTTTGTCCTCTAGTTTACTATTAGTTACAACATAACCTGAAGAATAAATGCTGTAACAAAAACCAAAATCTCTCAGCCTTGAAAAGTTAAAGTTGTCTTCAAATGATTATATCAATTATTTGCAATTGTATTATTATATGTTAAGAGGAAATAAAATACAGTTTGAATAAATCAATCCCAACGTTAAAGATTTGAATGAGTAATCCGAGGACTAATGACATTATTTGAACAAGCGCCTTTTTTTTTCTGATGACTATATCTTAATAGGCATTCAAGTCTTGCCCAACAATGACAGCTGTTCATTTGATAGTAACTTCTCTCCAAGTTTTCTCCCCACCCACCCCGGGGCCCCTGGTCTCTGTCCTGCTTTGTTGTTTTAAAATATGCATGTCCCTCCGGAATGCAAGTCACGGGTCCAAACTTTGTGTGTCCCAACCTCCCACATGATGAAATGATCCTTTTAAAGCGGCCTCAATATGTCTCAATCTGCACTCCTCTTCCCTCTCTAAAGCTTCTGGGTTCGGACACAGCCCAGAAATGTATGAATTAACGCGCACCACAGCAGCCGTTTTAGCCCTGAGGAAGAAGTGGCCGGATCAAGTCAGGCTCTGTCACAGACGGACGGACGAGGATTCACGGAAGGAAAAAGAAGGAAAAAAAAAAGTAAGGTTAATTTTCACGCTCTCTCTGTCTCAGTGTCTCTTGTCTTTCCCTCTCCCCTAGTCTTTCTCTTTCCTCCGTGCGTGCGTGTGCGTGTGTGTGTGTGTGTGTGTGTGTGTGTGTGTGTGTGTGTCTCTTTTACACAGCGTCCTTGTGTGTTCCTCGGACTGTAACGGATGAAGCCATGGGGGAGTGAGTGAGAAAGAGGAGGAGGGATATATACGTAAAAAGTGAAAGAGGATGGACATGTGCAACACCATGTGTTTGTGCGTGCGTGTGTTTGCGTATCTGTGTGTGTGTGCGTGCATGCGTGTGTATATGTGCCTGTGCTTGTCATGACTGAGGAATTAATCAGCACGTGGCATTACGCTTCAAAGAGGATATCAGCTGTACCATGTATGCACAAAACCTACATGGGCCCACGTTTAGCAATGCACGTGCACACGTTTCTACACGTGGTCTTGCAAATATAATAACATCAAAATAAAAATGCAGAACAAATCACACTGTACGAGGTAACAGGAGACCCGGCTGGTGGGGAAAGGAAAGTCGTGTGAATCGGATGTAACAGCGTTTGCAGCTCAAGACGAACTTCTAATTAATTCTGTCAAGTTTGAAAGGCTCTGTGTGTGTTTTCAGCGGCAAAGTGATGCTGCTATAAAAGATAAAGTGTCTCACCAATTAATTATTATAAACAATAGGCTGTTAAGGTAATTAAATTCAGGAGAAAGTAAGAGGCAGTTAACCTGTTGCTCGTGCTAACCATATTGTAACCTTGGCATTTCATCCCATAATAATCCTAAAATGTAAACAGACCAATCCTGGGATTCATTGGGAGATCTGAACAAACACACTGAATTGTTCATTTAATACATTCAGATTGTAATAGATATCCCAACAGTTTGATCGTGTCAACACATGGGAGGCCATGCATGCATGCAGGACACGGGCATACCTGACAACGTCTAGGCTTTTTTTGGTAATATTTACGGCTTCTCCTTCTAATACCCTCCAGATGGCGTGTGACGCAGCCACAGCAGTCAGCGAGCTCTTCAATTTTACTCCGCAGCATTTTGTTGCAACTGCATCAACTGTGGGAAATAATTGATTAATGACCCGCATCAGAAGCAAAAACAAAACATGAAGAAATAGACGAGATGTAAATATATATATATATATCAATCAATCCCAACGTTAAAGATTTGAATGAGTAATCCGATATATATATATATATATATATATATATATATATATATATATATATATATATTAGTGTGTGTGTGTGTGTGTGTGTGTGTGTGTGTGTGTGTGTTATGAAGACAAAACACACAGGGCTGCATTCATGCTTGTCAAATCTTTGTTGTCTGTGAGTTTTTTCTCAGCGAGTCACTCGAGCAGAATAATGCGTGTAAAGACTGAGCCTGTTCCCTTCGTGGTCCTTTCCTATATTATCCAATGAATTCGCAAGCGTTTTAGCAGGTATCAAACCACTCCACTAAAGACGTGTGAATGTCAATTGCCAAGGATTTGCTTAGACTCATTCCGTTTATTTTTTTTAGGACTATAGGTGTACTACGACATGTCTGCAGTAAAATAAATGTAAATGTTTTTGTCATAGAGTCTTTGTGAAGAGAAATTCAAATTTAAATCAGAAATAAATCTGGCGTGACAACAAAGTAACTGCGAAGCGGTATAAAGGTCAATAATGGACTGAAATATATTATTATTATATATATATATATATATATTTCAGTATATATATATAAGCAATCTGTCCTTCAATCAATCTATCTATCTTAGTCCCTTTTGTGTTATGGATTGTGTCGAATTTGAGGTTTTTATTGTTACCATCTGTGTTTACCTAAATTGCTTAAAGAGGCGACTGCAGGTTTATTATGATTGACTGTAACGATGCATTGAAGGGTATTTTTCATCTTTGTCACAGGGAGCCGCTCCTTCCAGGGTTAAGGTTCGCTATTGACTCCCTCCGGTCTCTCTCCCTCTCTCTGCCACCTCAGTGGACGTGCGGCATGTTGATAAATATATGTCTTTTAATCAGCACCATCCATCAAACGTGTATGTCCATGTTGCACTGCTGTGTTTAAGCAAGAAACGGTTGCCAGCAACGCGCGCATATCCAACAGCAGTTGCGCCGTGGTCTTGTTAGCGTGCTGAATGGTTCTGCGCCCATTAGTGCCGTACAGGCTTGCGCTGTTTGTGGATTTAAAAGGGGTCTTTTGCGGTGGTCTGTGTTAATAACCTCGTCACTAACTTCCACAACCACTGTGCGTCGGGTAGGGCAGCTCTCTGGTCCATGCCCACGGCTCGGACCCCTCGACACCAAGACATGTCGCCCTGTGGCTGCAGACTCTTTGTGGCCCCACATACCGCCGCTGTGATTATAGAAGTGCCCCTTCTCCCTTGTTAAAGGAGCGCAGCTCTAATCTAGCCTCTGTCGTAGTGTGTATAGTGAAAATGAGCGTGCGTGAGAGTGAATGCGCGTGGGGGGGGGGGGGGGGATTTCACAGTCAATATTTCTGGAATAGGAATGTGTTTTTATGCAATATTGAATTCGAGTATAGTTCTCGTAGTGCGGTATTCAATAGTCTCATCCCTCCACATGCAGCATTCTGCAGCCATGTCTGGTATGTGTTCCATGCGTACGCCACCGACACCACCCCCTCCACTCCGCCCCCCCCCACTCCGTCCAAATTCATTTGCATCCGCTGATGATATCAGTAAAGAGTTGCTGGCATCGTATGAGGCAGGGTGGGGGAAGAAGGCTTATTTGGATAAAACTGGACCGCGGAGTGGACACGGCCCTAAAGGTCAGTCGCCCATTCATGTCATGGTGGCAGGGGGTGTGTGTGTGTTGGAGAGGGGGGGCGGGGGTGGGCTGGGACGGGGGGTGCAAAGAGGCTTATTTGAAAGCGGGCGTATATTTGAGGCAAGGGAATGAAAAGGACTGGACCACAAAGCTCGTCATACTTCAAATACGCCCCGTCACATCTTCACTCTTTCTTTTCCACGCAGGCGGCGCGTATATAAGGAAGGTGGGTTCCCAGTGCAGTGGCACGACCTGTGGAGTAAGCAGCAGAAAATAAAACACGTGGACGAAAAGGTGGCTCATAGAGGTTTGGGTGTAGAAAATAAAGGGTTCTCAATGTGCTCCTTAGTTGTTAAATCTAATTTGGGCAAGTAAAATAGTGGATCATTTTCAATAAATAGAGGTATCATCTGGCGGGGATTCTGTACAGCACCATAATGCTGAAGAGAGAGAAAACATTTATGGAAAGAATCTTATACCAAAATAGGGCTTTAACAAAAGAGCAAGCCCATCATTTTATGACTAACAAGGCTACAGTTTTGGTGTAGTGCAAAATGTAAAGGGTTCACTTGTAAGGAAAATATAGGAGGGTATAAAAATGAAAAAGTGTGGCTATTGTTGCAGTATGTCAATTCGAATGTTACATAAAAATAAAATAAATATAAATATGACTTTACTCTTATTTTTTTATGTAATACATCTAAAATAAGAAAATGCATTACCACAGAATAGTAGATAATCTAAACAATATGACCATTTAACTTAATAAATGATGACGGCACACTCCTGCGATACCTCAATTTACTTCGAGGGCACATCCGTAGTGCATGTGCACACACACACACACACACACACACACACACACACACACACACACACACACACACATACACACTATGTACATGTACTATGTATACTTTACAGTTATGTCTAAAAGCGTATTCCTGGCTCGGTTGGAAGTCTGCATAAACCTGGTGATTATGCTGCTTATTGGACGCGTTAAACGAGTGCAAATGATCACAAATTATTTCTTGTCGAAGGGAATGGAAAAGATTTTTGCCCATGCATCTTTGTTCACTCTAAAGCCGAGGAAATCGCTCACATTGTCTTTAATATCACGTTAAAGTGATGTTTTGAAAGTGTAAATAGAGATTTATTTTACTAACCAAAGCTACATTATTTAAAATGCTACAAGCTTTTTATTTTTTGCAGCACCAATTGATGAATACAGTCTGTCATTTCGGTTGGTTTACAAAGTGGACCAAGATGAACGACAACACGAAGAATCTGCCGGCTGAATGAAGCACAGTGAAGCTCGATCACTTTGGATTTACAGCTCTGCATTGATCGCAGCAGTAATAGTGCTCGCGCCCCTCGCGACCAGGCTTTTATCACTATTATCATTATAACGCATCACTATTAGGCATAGTGCGTACTGTACGCAGTTATTACAAGAGGCAAAACCTCCATCAACAGACGTTAAGCATATATATTACACAATATATAGTATAATATAATACATATGCTATTGTATAATATTGTATAGTGTATCGTTTGCTTGTACACATTCACACCCAGAGTATGAACCCTGACAGTGATGGCATCGGTTGATTTTGTCAAGAGGGGGAGTCACCTGCCGCCCTTCGCCTCCCTCACTTGCTTTGGCATTAAAAGTTCTCCCCTTTTCAGCTCGACCACTCATCTGGTTTTTGCCATCTCGGTCCCTCAGATGCTCATCATTAAAGTGGAATCCGATGGAAAACAAATGAATAATACATAATAATAAAAAAAACAAGCACACGTATCAATTTCTTCGAGTTTGGGTTGGATCGCGTGAATCGGAGCATGAAGCGCGGAAGTGGGATCGCGCCGTGGCAACGCACGATACACCACGTTTTAAGTGTCATAGAGCGCTAAACTACGGGCGCTTTGTTGTGGCGTCCCCGCGCGCCTCCGCGTGCGTAAAGACAGCCTCTCCGTCCCAGACCTCAGTAAGCTGTTATTGTTTCTACCTTTGTTTGCTAGATGGCGCTCTGCGTTATGGGACCCTCTGACACATGAACCGCCTGGTACCCCCATCCCCTCACTCCCCACCCTCCCTCCCATCCCCTCCCCTCCTCTCTCTCCCCTTCTGTCTCTTTTCATCCTCGCTCTGCTCTCCCTGTCTGGAGTCCACCGCTCAGCACAGAGTAGCCTTTCCAGGGGCATTTCTAACCGCTGCAAACGCCTCTCCTTCGTACACTACCCTCTAGCAACTTGCGTTGTGGTTTGTTTGGTTAAGCTGTGGCATCGATTAAAACCAGCGTTCCTCAATGAAGTTTTATTTAAGCTGATAATAACACAGACTATCGCACATCAATTCAATTATGAATTGTTTGTTTAAGCGATGTTACGTTGCAGAATTTACGCACTAATTCATGTGACAATTAAGTCAATAAAATGACTTTAATTATCCATGTTCAAATAAATAATGTCTTATTAATTTAGGTAAATTCTGGCAAACCGAGAATTAAGTTTGATTACAAAATCCATACAGCAGAAATGGATAATAAAAAGAAAATATTTTGAATCAACTGTTAATTATTTACACACAATGTATAGCATCTGCGCGAGACTCAGGTACATAAAGTTTATTAAAACACACAATACATTATTCGTGTTTAAAAGTATGAAAACAACAGAATTTGAGAATCATGCAATGTTTTATTAATTATTATAAATCCAATGTCCGAGTTTCTAATCTATTTTAGATTGCTTGCCACCAAAGGAATAATAGGTATATTGCACTGTTAGTGACTTACTGCAGTTACACCTTCACTAAATAGCGGCTTGTCGGCGTCTGACGTCGGTGAATGTGTTTGAGACTCGGAGACTTTTACAGCCGCCTTAAAACGCGCAGTTCCCCCAAAGGAGCCACGACGGGATCACGTGCAGGAGTATTATACGGCAGTCAACGACAAAGAAACACGCACTTCACACACCTTTAGAAAGTCCCTTCTAGAAGGATGAGAACGTCCTGTAAATGTTTTGTCGTGTTTTAATTGGGAGCTTTCTCGGTTGATGCGAGTGAAACAATAATCAGCGTGAGTTCAAATTGTTGAAAGAAACGGTTGGTTTCACTTTTTTGGGAAAATACATTTTGGTTCAAGTCGGGAGTTGCTTTGCGTTATTATGATAACCGATTGCCAAAAGTGTCCCCAAGTCCTCTTTTAATTCGACAACAGATCGCGTGACAGATCCAGAGAATGGATTTCCTCGGATGTGGCCGAAGATAAACAAGTGGGCTGTTAATGTTGGTTTCGGCTTTTCCCTCTGGCTGCATTTAATCCTCACATGAAGACATCCGAACTACGAACGGGAACTAAAATAGTAAAATGTTGAGCCAAATGAAATATTATATCGGGATTTAACTTGGTTCTTTTTTCGAGTGTGCTGTGTAATCAACCAAAGTGCTCAAACTGTTGGTGGATAGATGATGAGGAGGATAGATGATGAGGAGGATAGATGATGAGGAGAGGAGGGCTCCAAGAGACACGTGGACAATAAACTTTTGATAAGAGACTTTCGGGATTGGAATCTTGCTGGGACCTTAAGAAAGCCACAGGCAAGGTTTCATTGTTGATTGAGCTGTATTACCCATTCGCCCCCCCCCCCCCCCCAAAACACACAGTCACACTGTTAAAACCCGGGTGGGACAACAGGTTCTCTTCTACTGGATACGGGGCTCATTTCCCTGCCGCCACCCCGAAGACACTGTGTCACGCTTCACCTCATTCCCTCCCAATCCACGTCTTCTTTTACTGATATTTACACAAGTTGGCAACACATTATTAGTGACAGAGGGATAGAGGGAAGCAGCATTTTAATTATTTTTTTCCCCCCGAACAATGGGCATGAGCCTGTCGTACATGTTGAGTGTTTGAGTGAGGATCTCTCTGTATTTCTCGACTAAACAAGCCATCGTCTCACACCTGCATATGGGATGGAAATTGCCCAGATATCCTGCAGGCAAAGGGCAGGTTGCAGGTGCAATTAAGGCGGAATAATGCGTTGGGACAATATAACCTCGATTGAAATGTATCATAAATCGCCTTCACCAAAATAAAACCACGGTAGCCGCTTTGTTTTGACTTTTTTTTGTATCTGCACCAAGGCCCATTGTCTGAAATCGCAGACAATGGGCCTGATTGATTTGGGGAAATCATCCGAAGTGCCCGAATATAAAGCTAAACATTTAATACCATCCAACCTGTACGTCTAGACTAATTCACTCATTTTTTGACATATCTTTATTTCCGTCCTTAATCGAATTTGCCACATTTAAGCTGGTGTGCGGATTTCGTGGCTTAAGCTGCCATTTGGGCTCCATCCACGGAATGCCAGAGAATACGAAGGTTTGTCATAATTTCTTAAGTAGAAAACAAGATATTTCACCGCCACAGTGGGATTTTAACGAATTAGAATATCTCACTGCTTTCCTGTGATAAAACGGTAGAGGATTGAGGCGCTCGCTTGTTAAGTAACTTGCTGTCAGTGTAGTTAGCAGTGCTCTGATATGGACGGTGGCTGCAGAGCCTCGTCTCTTGGGGTTTTAATTAACAAGCTGTCTCAAAGCTGCAGAGCTCCATCAAACAGCCTCTCTCTCCCTCTCTTTCTCCATCAGTAAATCCCCCCTCTCGTTAGTGCCTCGGGCTCTTTTTTAAACTATAGACATTCTGGGTCCCAAATCAACTTGTTACCACAACATGTACAGCATCTGAACTACTATGAGATAATTTGAAAAATATGAATAGTTTTCTCCTTTTGTCTTGCATCTATTTGTCCACGTACTATTCCGTTGGGTTTGACTTGCAGCCTGATGGCGCATAACTGTTGCTTTTCTCTGAAGTAGACAGTGACGTGACTTCTTATAATCTGTTGAAGTGCGGGGATTACGTCTCTCTTCTTAACACATGTAAGACACACCTTTAACCGACAAAGTACGTTCTGAGTGGTCTCTTA